CTGATCAATGCCTCCACCAGCCTTCGTTATAACAACGCCTGTTCGGAACGCTAAGCGCACAGCCTCAACCGCCAGGTCAACTAACTGTATAGGTGTCGAGGCACAGGCTACTGCAGCGGCCGACAATAGGCCAGGCCCATGGCCCAAGATAAAATCGTCCCTGGAGGGGAATCGGTCTTCGTTGTCTTCGATCAATCTATAGTGTCATTAGCCATCGAGGAAGCTTAATTGGGACTAGATTGTTACGTGCTAAGAGGTAGGGCCTTACTGGAAAAATAGTGATAATTGATAGACACAGAGCAACGCGATGGAAATTTCTAATCTTTTCACCCGCTGAGACCGCACTCGCTCAATTAGGTCGACCACACTGTTAAATGGTGGGAGCTGTGCGCGGCATAGTGCTGGCAGCAGGCTGATCTCGTCCCGTAGAGCAACATGCACCTTTGACAAAAAGGCATTCAGTAATATGGATCCACGATTTATCCGATTTGCAGAGGGAAGGCTCTGTTGCCCATCAACGAGCTGATCTGTGAATAGAAAGGCTCTCATGTTGAACTGAGCGATTCTGGTGGATGGGTGATTGTGTTGATGGACAGTTGGCCTCTGTACGGGGAAATTATACTTAAAAGTAATGGGAGGTTCAACTTTGGCCTCTATACATATGATTTTCACACTGGGCCGGTACGCAATCAGTGGGGACTAGTTCCTGTTGGAGTATCCTACTGTTCTACTGCGTGACGGCTTCAAACTGTCGCCGCTCACCATGAACGGGAATGTTCTCAACATGCCAATGGGTATCTACATAGAATTCCCTACTTTAATTCTACGAAATGCATGTGGTGACATAGTCTGAAACCTAGTCTCCACTCCGCCATTCCTCGGGGATTCCTGGAGTCCAGCAGATCAAATTCAGGCTGACATGGCATATTCCACGGCCTAGAACTATTACACGCATCATAACTCGGGTAATACAAGTAGCTGCAAGTCGCAAACCATCTGCCTTTTCACCGTCACCGCGCGGAGTCTTGGTTCGCCGCTAGGCCGTCGGGACAGGAGTCGGGGATCGGCAGCAGCTCGGGTTATTGCATCTGACATGTATACCGGTGGTCCCCGACATCTTGGGCCGTTCACCGGAATCTCCTGGGCCAACCTCTTGTTGAAGGCCAGATATACTAATGTCATGATCGATGGTCCTACGAGTACGCCGGAAAGTCTCAAGCCTTAAGCCCCCACTGCTCCCAAGGTTGCCTTCACCGGAAATAGGATAATAATAATCATCATAAAAAACTCTCGATACGATCCCCTTGCATCGCCATGACTGCCACTAGTACTAGCCCTGCTGTTACAAAACTAGCGGCTGAGCTGCGGGAGACTCTACAGGAATCAACTGTTTTGACTCCAGACTCAGATGGCTACAATGAAAGCATCAAACGATGGAGCGATGCAGTAGAAAAGAAAGCGGTATTTTACTATCCCACCACTCGCTGACAGTGGGGCTCAAGGCTAACACGTGCTCCAGGGCATCGTAGTTTACGTTCGATCCGCTGAGGATATCTCTGCTACCATCTTAGCATGCCGCAAACATTCCATCTCATTTGTTGTATCAGGAGGAAAGCACTCGTCTAGCGGTGCTTGCTCATCCGAAGGTGGATTGGTGATTGACTTGGCCAAGATGCGCGAGGTCCATGTTGATTCCGCCACCAACCTTGTCCGAGTGCAAGGCGGATGCATCTGGAAGGATGTTGATGATACCGCTTTTGAAAGTGGACTCGCGGCGGTCGGAGGCACTGTGAACCACACTGGTGTTGCTGGGCTCACTCTCGGAGGTGGCTACGGGTGGCTTTCAGGCCGATACGGATTGGTTATTGACAACTTGCGGGCTGTTCAAATGGTCTTAGCGGATGGTACCATCACCACTGTCTCTGAGGAGAATCAGCCTAATTTGTTCTGGGCCGTTCGTGGCGCTGGCCATGCATTTGGTGTCGCTGTCGAGTTCACCTTCCAGGCGCATGAGCAAAAGAACCCTGTCTGGGCTGGCCAGATGGCGTTCCCCATTGACAAGCTGCATACTATCATTCACTTCGCGAATAACCTAGTTTCCACTACTAATGGAGACTCTGGGCTGATCATGGGCATCACTGCCCCTCCATTCACCAACCACAAGCCGGCCGTTATTACCAATGTCTTTCATAATGGATCTACCACCGAGGCACTGTCGATCTTCCAGCCTCTCCTAGATCTGCAGCCCATTATCAATAGCACCAAGGAACGGCCGTACAACGAGGTCAACGGTATGATGAACCACGCCGTCGACTACGGTGGTCGCAAACTCTCAAAGAGTGCCGTCTTTCAGACCCCCTTGCGACCAGAGTTTGTCAGCGACATCATCCTGCCCGAACTCGAGCGGTTCCACGCTACTGTACCCGGTGGAACACGGTCCATCCTCCTTTTTGAATTCTTCAAGTCGGACAGGTGGTGTGAATATTCTACCTCTGATATGTCTTTCGCCAACCGCGGCCCGCATCAGAACTTGATGGTTGGGCCCTTCTGGGACCGCGCAGAACATGATCAGGCAGCTCGAAACTGGTCCCAAGCCGTGTCTGAGCTCGCCTGGCTCGAGATTAAGCGTAACCAGATTGACAATGGTCCTGCTGCGAAGCCAGCACCAACCACTGAGTATGGAAACTACGACCATCTCGCTGCCAGCCCGCGTCGCATCTTTGGGGCTAACCTCGAGCGTCTGATTGAGATCAAGCAGCAGTATGACCCGCAAAATGTGTTTGACAAGTCATACAGTTTAATCAGGGGACATGAAGAAGTTGGTCGGGCGGCGATAGGCGTCTGTCAACGCCAATCTTGATAATATTGTGCCAAGTATCTAAAGTAGCTCGACCAATCAACAGGTTTATACATGTTTTAGCCCACAAAGCCCATGAGTATTCTACTATAGTAATATGGTTCTGTGAAAATGTGCATATCTGTCAGGATAGAGTGTCTTAATATTCCATCTAAAGAGCATTAGAGAAGAGCCTTTAGTTCAATGTAGCTCCCCTGCATAGCCAGAAATTCAGTAGTTAGCCTCTAACAGGTTATTAGAATCTTCATTAATTGACATATTGATTCAATGTAGCTCTTGATGGGCTAGAGCTCTGCGCTTCCTTTGGCAGTATGATGCAACATCCGAAATCTATGCTTGCCAATTCGGGTATCCGTCAAGCAGATCTTACAGTGTTGACACTATATATCTCAAGTTAAATGCACAGCCTTTATATCTTGTTACCATAAAAGGGGTCTCCCCCGATATCTTGACTTATGTATTTCTTCTGCTCTTATCTGTCTAGCTAGAGGTAGTCGGTAACTGACTCGGACAAATTCGATTCACCAGTCTACTAACTTTCATCCTAGATTCATGCTAGATACTGCTTAAGCAATTGAGTGGCGCTCACCGGAAACATCGGTTCAGGGGCGTTGCGAAAATAGCCGAAAGCGTACGGGCTAGCCGTGTAAAGCACCCAAACCGCCACCCAAATGTAGCCCACTAAAAGCTGCCATGTTTCTGGTAGCTCTCCCTTTTTCGCTGTCACCTCCCCAGGCCGTCCAGTATTGCCCGATACTTTCGCCTTGGTAAGTTTAAAGTATGCTTGCTGAGCCAGGTCCTCGATAGTGATACCAACAGCCTGTATCATAAAGGCCGAGATGGCCCGGTTATCAGACCCCGGGATGCCAATGACCTCATCCACGAAGTAATGAATCGTTCCACTCAGGCCAAATGTCAACAACACCGTGAGGATTCGTCCCTCGACTGAGCGTCTACGCAAGCGGAGGACATCGTAGACGATGAAGCGGATGTTGCTCGAGAGCGGATTGCGCAAGCCAGAGTGCCAGAACACGCTAAAAAGTACCACTGATGTTAGTTTCAATCTATATTATTAAGCCCCACGGTTGTCAAGCACTTACGCCCAAAACCGTCGAATAGTCCATGCGTTCTCAATACTTCCAAAATAAGGAGGCCAGTCTTTAGGTTCTGTGAGACCCGTTGCAACACCAAAGATACTGGTAATATCATAGATGAACCGAACTGTCGTATAACGGTCAACCCAGAAGAAGAACGTTGCAATAAGCCGCAGACGCAAACAGGGAAGTGTCCATAGTTGTGGTGAAAGAAAGATTGCTGCTCGCTCCGGAGCGAAAGCCTCCACTGGCGCCAATCGAAGGTTGGCCAGAAGGTCCAGCACCAGATACCCCAAGACACAGGCGATTAACTGGCTCCAGATAAAACGCATACGGGAGGGGATATCTGGATAAAACGAGGGTATGTTTGGTGTTTGGCGGGATGTCCCAATTGCTCGATAGCTGAACATGACATGCATCGCCCACTTCAGTCTCGTCCACGGATTCTGGGGACTGGCCTTCAACAGAGATGATTGATCTCCCATTTCCTTCTTTTCTTTCCCGATATCTGGTCTGCCTTTTCTCTCCACGCCACGGTCGTCCATGTACAGCCTCTGCAACCCGAACACGTCGACAACTGTCAAAGACAAAAGCATGAACGGACCGTCTAACCCGCCCGCTTGGTTTCGATTGGGAAAGACCTCCGGAGACAGACGGTGATAGCATATGCTGGCGACAGACGCAAACGGCAGTACAGCCAGTCGCACCGACGACGACGGACGTGTAAAAGCTAGGATAAGAACAGGAGCAGCATGACTGAGAAGCATGAGAGGCAGCGCATTGGAGAGGTAAAAACGCCGCAGCAATTCTGGTATGCCCCAGAAGCCGAGAGCCCCCAAAGGGACATAAGCAGCCAGGACGATGAAAGCGACGTCTTTTGGAGGCATAGACATAGTGAGTAGACTGCTGGGTATACTCTCGACAACTCACATGTGCCTTCTTAGTGGCGCATCTGCACGCCCAATCACGTATGATATATAAGTCAGCCTCGCTCATCGTCATTCGGGCCCGGCAGTAGATCTATCAATTTGCGACTCCACCGTCGGGTTTCGGTCTTCGCATCGTGCATCGAGGGTAATTCCGCGGTCCGAGCACGTATCACACCTTCAAAACTAGTCTCTGTACCTTTTGCATGGGCATGAAAGCCGCTAGAGCCCACCAACCATGATTTTATCCCGTCGCACAATCTTCGGCGTCTTTTTGAAACCCAGAGCCTCGTCTTCCTTTTCTATTTTTTCCCAGCCTCTCCCCCACTTCCGTGCTCAACAACCTCACCATTCAGCCCTTTGCCCTCGTAGTTTTGCAACGATGTCTAAAGATACTATTGTCATTTTTGGCGCCACTGGCAAGCAGGGTGGCTCTGTTGTTGACAGTATCCTGAGTGACCCCACGGCAGCCAGCCGATTCCATGTCAAAGCTGTCACCCGTGACGTTTCGACGGATAAGGCGAAGGCATTGGCTGCAAAGGGTGCTGAGCTGGTTACGGTATGTACAATTTTATCCTGATCTCCAGACTTGAGCGACTAAATCTGTCCATCCTCATAGGGAGACCTGAACGATAAAGAATCTTTGCGTCCTGTGATAAAGGGGGCCTATGGGGTTTTCGCTGTCACCAACTTCTGGGAAATCTTCAGTGCGGAGAAAGAAGTTCAGCAGGGGAAGAATACTGCCGAGGTCTGCAAGGAGGAAGGCGTTCAGCACCTTGTATGGAGTAGTCTCCTCAACATCAATAAGCGTGCGCAGCCCTCCACCCGTTGCCTCTTTGTCCCCCGGCGCTAACACGTTCACTATATCGCAGTTACCAACGGCGTGCTTTCCAAAGTCTACCACTTTGACGGCAAGGCTGAGGTCGAGGAGTATATCCGGTCCCTTGACATTCCGGCTACCTTCTTCCTCGCCGGCTTCTTTATGTCCAATGTCCCGGGGGTGAGCTTCCGCCAGATCCCCACTGGTAGCTACGCCCTCTCCATGCCTGTTCCGGATGACACGCCCGTTCCTCTCTTTGCTGCTGAGTTTGACACCGGTAAGTTTGTTAAGGCAATCTTCCTCAAGCGGGACGCTACGCTAGGCAAACGTATATACGGGGCGACCACTTATTCCACTCCTGCGGAAATGGTGGCTACTTTCCAGAAAGTCTACCCCGAGACGGGCAAGCACGCCAAGTTCAATCAACTGTCTCATGAGGCATTCAAGGGCATCATGGCTGCAACCGGTGCCCCTGAGATTATTCAAGAGGAGATGCTGCAGAATATGCGCCTTATGTCGGAGTTTGGGTATTATGGAGGGGATGCTTTAGAGCCTAGTCTTGCGGTGAGTTCAGACTTCGGCCATGCTTCTTAACCAATCGACATACTGATTTGTGCAATGTAGATCGTTGACGAACCATTGACTACTTGGGAGGAGTACATCAAGCAAGCCACCGCTTTCGCCTCGTTGAAGTAGGCTATTTAATGTATAATCCCATGTGTACATGTCATGGGTAGCGCACTATATCGTCCAATATGAACATAGTAAAGCCTCATTCGATGTTCCACTAGATGTAGTCTAATTGGGCTTGTCATTTAATATTGCTATATTCTCTGATTGATTAGTCAATTCTCCGTATAACTACTTTTCATCTCAATCCATTCTCTCCATAGAACAAGTTTTGCCTCGTCGCTGCACTCAAATAGGACTTGCCTTGGTTTACTATTGTACTATCAGTTTTGTTGATTAACATGGAGTTATGTCATAAGCTAAAGGTTACCAAGCGCCTCCAACTCCATGCAGTAGCTAGCATTCATCCTTATCGAGGCTCCTAGGTTCATATGTCAACCCGTGAAGAATGCGAACGCAGGCCCTCGATGCCATCCCGATGTGTATCGTAAGTGCTTTTGTCTAGCTGCCACTCCGGCTACTCCAATCTCGCCATAAATAATCGTATCATGTCTTACAGCGCTCTAAAAGTTTTAGTATCCCTTCTATACTATACAATAAATGCTAGTCCGCCGGAATCGTATTCTTTGAGTTAGGAGATAACAACAAACACATTGCAAGCATTGATAGTGACGTAGTACAACTATGCAAGCCTACTTTTCCATCTCTCTATTCTTTATGCTTTAAAATTTTAGATGCCAACGTTTGTCAAGTCAATATTTCATATGAATAAGCAGACGCCTCAAACGAACAGTTGGGTGATATGATCCTAGTGCCAACCGTGGTTCTTCCGAACACGCGCACCAAAACGACTCCGAGTAAATTGAGAGACAACGCTTTGTGTACAGGGATAAGATATCCTTGTAACATAATTACATCTGTAGCAGCTGTCTAGTGAAGAGAGGGTGAGATTATGATCCATCTCGATATTTATACATGCATAGAAACAAATATATATATATATCTACCCAAACCTCTAATCATAAACAGCTCTACACAGATTGATATAAAACCTTTGATAATTTAGTTCGGTGGTTTAAACTAATTACAGTAGCCTAGAATATCCAGCTTTCGAAATATTGTAAACGCTAAAAAGTCCATATTCTGTGAGAGGGGTTACCCAGTACACAGTCCGGGTGGTGATTAACCGTTAGCCACTCTACGAACCTTTTGAAAATCCGCCCTGATAACCACTCTACTTATATTCTAGAATGCTTTCAGATGTCCTAGTTATCTTATTATTGCTTATGGCTAGTAGATTCTAGTAATTAAGATAAGTTATATCTATCGAGATAGCTAACTGATCGTAGAGACTTTGGACGAACCCCCGGGCGCAACAGATGGCTAGAATAAATAATAATGAAAAGACATAAAGCTTTTTGAATACTAGAAAATTTCAGATCTTTTGAAGCTAAAATGACTAATAAGATACTGCGTTCTTGCTTCGCTTGACCTTTGGAACTTTCAGGCATTTTTGGTAGTATAGGCAATAGTTGAATAGCTTCATTTTTAGGTGCAAAAAAAAAAAAAAAATTGCTGTGTTGACCGGTCCGTGGACCGGATATGTGTACGGAGTATCTCTCGGAAGACGGGCTGCATACTCAGCCTCGTATAAGCATAAATGGATCCCAATCTCCGTAATTCTCTTGGGTATAGCTCTCTTCGGGGATGCGCATAACTATCCCGTCTAGCCACTCATAGCAGTCCTCCGTACTCCATGCTATGTAAATATTACCAACCGTGCCTCTAGCGTCTTAGGTAACATCCTAGATTGTAAGCTATATTGATCAACTTTCTGATTGACTAATGGGGTCTGGTCCAATCTACTAGTAGCAATAACTAACAATCGATTAAGAGGTGCCAAAACATTTTCCTGAAATGGTAACCAACAAAAGGGAAAATTTTTTTTTTCTAATAATAGTATCACTGTGTTATTGCACGTAATCTGATCGCTTAACTCCGTCGGTAACAAGGGTAATGATTGCAAATCGCGGTAACGCATTTCATGCAAGGCTACGCCGACGCCCCGCCGGAGATAGTTATGTTCTGACCTGGCCAAACGCACTCCTGTCAGATTTGGGCCCCGACGCCATACATGATAAGATGATAAATCATAAGTCTCGGGGATTCGGGAATAGGAGCACATACCACTGAGCCACTGGGCATCCTCTGTAGCCAAGAAAGCCACCACTTTGGCGATATCGGTGGGGACTCCCATGCGACGCATCGGGGTCCGAGCGGAGACGAAGGCTTCAATATCGTTGATGGTCCACGATGCATCAGCACCGGGGATGTACTTGTACCCGACTTCTGCGGCCATATCTGTCTTTACCCCACCGGGCGCAACGCTATTGACCGTAATGCCTCGGGGCCCCAATTCAGGCGCGAAACACCGCGCAAATGCCTCGACGGCGCATTTGCTCCCGGCATAGACCGCATGCTCCGCCAGCGACACGTGGGCCGAGATACTGGATGTTAGAATGAGACGGCCATTGTCGGACAGATGCTGGGAGGCTGCTTGCGCGACAAAGAACTGGCCGCGAGTGTTGACGCTGAAGACACGGTCAAACTGTTCCGGGGTGACTTCGCCGAGCTTGCCGAAATGTTCGACCCCAGAGTTGGAAACGACAATGTCAATCTGGCCAAATCGGGTCTGGACTTCTTGGAACAGGGTTTGGATCTCGTGGGGGTTGGAAACATCCGCCCGAATGCTGATCGCTTTACCGCCCTTGGCTGTGATATCGTCGGTCAGCTCCTGCGCGGTGGAGGAGTTGCTTCGGTAGTTGATGACAACAGCGGCCCCACGGAGAGCCAGTTCCCGTGCAATCCCGGCGCCGATCCCGCGACTGGATCCAGTGATGAGGGCGACCTTGCCGTCTAGTGGGGTTGCAGTGGACATTTCGAATGCAAGAAGAGAGCCGTGATAATGCAACAGAGAGCTCCGCACACCTATCACTGATTGCGAATTGATATGTGTGGACTGTTACCTGGAAGAGCGGCTCTATTCCTGCCTCCGCTCTTTATAGGCAAGCCCGACGGCTTGCGCATAACTTGTCATCCTTTGCTCTGACTGATCACAAAAACAAATACCGACGGCTCGCATTGTATGTCCGCCATTTGGCCGAAGACCGAGGACTATTCACGAAGTTCGAGCCGACGGTACGAGGACCTTTGATGGGGACGTGCCGTAATGTTTTGAATGGTAGAGTAACATTTTATATCACTAGAGATTTTTACTGTGTGAACTGGAGCTCGCTCCCCTGTATCCAGAGTTATACGTTCTAAATTCCATACAATGGCACCTACTACCAAACCAACCTTTGAAGGTAAATAAGCGCTCCGCCTCAGGTAACTATTCCTGAGAGGGTCTAACGTATTTTCGAGGGTGTAGAATGGCTAGAGGTCAGTGAGCTAGCATATGAGTGGGCGGAGAGCTACGACTCCAAGGTAGATGCCACCCTCCTCTCCCCCAGGACCACCAACCTGGGCTAATCTCTCACTTGTCTAACCCGAATTACAGGACTGGGCACGCCTTCGGTCTATTCTAGCCCCTACTCTAATGGTATGGCACCAGCGGTCGGGCCCCAATCTCCGGATTATTTAGTAACCTTGAACGATGAAACCGTGTAGATTGATTACAACAAAGTCAATAATTCCAAGTTCTCTGATCTGCCTGCGGATGATTTTGTCGAGATGATGAAGGACCCACTGTTCTTAGGCGACCCCAATATCGATTCTCAGCATATGCTCGGCCTTACCAAATGGGAGAAAACGTCGGACGATGAGATTGTCAGTCACTCCCAATCGAGGGCTGCTCATGTCCGGTGGGAGGAGGGACGGGCCGCTGTGGCGGCGAAGGGCCATGGACATGGAGTTGTCACAACTACGTATCGGAAGATTGATGGGGCATGGAAATGGGCGGGGATCAAGACATTAGTGCGCTGGAATGAATATGACTTTGAGAGGGTTTTTCGGGGAGCTGCTGGCAAGTTCGACTAGCGCGAGGGCGAGGATAAGAGGGATTGCCATCTGGAGCGTAGAGCTTCAAGCCCTAAAGAACCAAGAATAATAAAAACCCAGCTGTTAATTAGGAGCCAAAGCAGCTAGAGTATTTCTTACCCTTGAATCGCTTCTATTCCTCATCGACCATGTATCTGAATGGCTCATCTTGTACCCGGTATTTGTGACGGCCCAGTCCCTACACAGGCCTGACATTATTCTTGTTTGTTCTTTTTGTATTCAAGATATACGATATCCCAGAGCTTCGCTCGTGGAATATACTCTTCTTCGAGTGATTCTCTCGTATTAGAGCTACCAAATCTGATCAAATTATCCACGTTGGCTTGAGCCGTCACAATTTTTACGAATCAAAGGATGACACGGATCCTCCCCGTACAATGTATCTTTAGCTGCCACTTTGTGAGCTCCAAATAGCTATCTACATTTGAATAAGTGCTCAACAGGTCATTATTTTTAAGACTTTGCCCCACCATTTATTGATTGGGCTGGCCCCTGCCTATCGGTGTGAGACGTAATATGCAGGCTCGTCTGAAACTACAGCCGCAAACGAAAAGTAACTTCTATCAACAGTCATTGTCAGGAGCGGGTATTTAATGCACAGAAAATGAATACATCTCTTTTCTGTTGATGGGGCTGTAACTCATATGACTATAGCTTCCACTTTCTGGGAGATGGCAGCGGTTTCGCTTACTAAATTGGCCGGTTTAACAAAATAAAGATACAGATTATAACCCCTAAGGGTTTGAAAATAGTATTGAGAGAAAAGAGAAAGAGAAAAATGTAATTCGGACTGCTGGAGCCCCGCCTATGACAATGGCTGGCTCAGCCTCGGGAATGATGATCGATGATATCCCGATTCGGTGCTCCTGAACACCTGCACTGGCCACTATGGTAATATTCCTCCCCTCCTAGTGGAGTGATAATATTCTAGCCCACTGCAAAGCACATACGAGGAAAGGCGATCATCGGGCAATCGCTGTATTGGTCAGGGGTAATTTTTGCTTTTTCTTTTGTCGAAGGCACGGAAATAGCAAGGATGTGTAGAAGCCAAGAAGGAGGAAATCAGGAGAATAGGAAAAGACAAAAGGGGCTTCTTAGCCTAAGGGCAACTGCTCCGCTCATGAGTGCTATATAACAGCGCCATAGACTGTATTTGCACTGAATCCTGTCATCAGTTAGCTATAGGAATCACGCCCCTTAAACGATTGTGTTACTGGCTGCTTTAGTCGGCACCATGAGGTTCCATTTCTCCGAAGTTGTGTCTATTCTCTCTGGCGTGACACTTGCATTCGCTGCGGGTCTTGATTTGGCACAATCCCCCGATCCAAGCACAACCAGGAACAACCTTCTGCAATGCGTGAGGGGTGCCTTGAACGAATACTTGAGGGATTATCGGATCGTGACTCCAGATAGGAAGGAGTACGAGACTGTCTCGACTGGCGTCATCTTGTAATTAAGCCATCCAAAGTCCTCTAGATCCAGGCTAACTCACAAAAGGGCCCGCCAATACCCAGCAGTGGTAACATACCCTATTGAGATTGACGAAGTAGTGAAGCTTGTCAAGTGTGGCTATGACAATGGATACACGGTTTCACCGCGGTCTGGAGCTCATCAGTAAGGCCATCCGACTCCGGGCTTCCTCACGGACATAGCTGACCCTGAAAAAGCTTCGAGAATTGGTCCGCGCTCAATGGAACATTGGTTATCGATATCTCGCATATTGACCATGTTCAACCCTCGTCTGATTTAAATACAGCGGTTGTGGGCGCAGGTGCAAGACTAGGCACTGTTTACAGCATCCTGGGCAAGTACGGCCGCACCTGGATTGCCGGGATCTGTCCATCTGTTGGCTTGGGTGGATATATCAGTGTGGGAGGGTATAATATGCAAATGCGCAAGTACGGTCTCGCGGTCGATTGGATGGAGTCAGCTAAGGTTGTTTTGGCCAATGGGACCATCGTCACTGCATCAGAGACAGAGAACCAGGATCTCTGGTGGGCTATGAGAGGAGGTGGCACATTCGGCCTCACCGTGGAAGCTGTACTGAAGCTCACAACTATACCTCGGTCGGCTATGCTGTCAATGAACGCCCCTAAGGAATCTCGACTTGAGGTTCTGAAAAGATTCATCAACTGGGCGCCGGCACAGGACCCTCTGTTCAATTCTCAGCTAAACCTGTACGGCGACCATGCCAATATCCTGGGCTGGTATATCGGAGAGTCGAAGGGCAACCTGGATGCCCTCATGCATGAGTCTGGACTTCTTGCTGTTCCAGGCGCACAATTTAACATTACTGGAAACTGCAGTACTGAAAATTCGCGTAACTTCTGGGTGTACACACAGCAAACCTGTACGGATGACGAGACGGCCCACGCACTGAGCAACCTTCTTTATAACGTTGTACCGGATGACATTGTGCCTATCAACAATGTTTCATACAGCTTTGACGACACACCTGCTCTCCCGGATGAGCCTCAAGCAATGCTCTGGCCTCATCTGGGAGTCGTGGAGAAGACTTACATCCAGAAGCTTGGTGATTCCGGCCTCAGCGATGAGGACCTGCAATGGATAATTGAGAGAACCGGACAGTTGCCAGCCGAGTTGGGTGTCTGGGCTGAAATCACCACGTTTAACATGTCTAGCGCTCCCCCGTCAACCAGCGCATTTCCTTGGTTTCGGGATGCGGAGATCATGTTTCGCGTTGAAGTTAACAAGGTTGAGGACGAGGAGGTGATGCAGCAAGGACAGCAATTCATTGATGAGCTGGACCAGCTCATGCTTGCGAAATTAGGGTAAGGTCTCCGTTGATTGATCCAGAATACAGTCGTCTTACTAACGAACCCTATTGTGGTTGTGACAGAAGCGCCTCTTACGCGGGTTATATTGATGCCAAAATCCAGGTCGACCCTCACTACGCATATTGGGGTACGAATGTCGATCGTCTGGCTGAGGTGAAGGCTGCATATGACGAGAGTGACTTGTTCAGCAATCCCTTCTCTATTCGACCCAAGGCCTAGATAGATAGTGACTGCGGCTGACAGACAGGCCGCGCCATGTGTGGGTGCGGTGCCATGTTCGAAACTGGTCATTGACGGACGGCATGCTGAATAGACCGGATGAGTGTCTGCACATGTGGGATTATTATTATTATTATTATTATTATTATTATTATTATTATTATTATTATTATTATTATTATTATTGTTATTTTTGTGATTTTTTCTGGCGTCCTATTGTGTACATTACTCATATATCAATTGCAGTTACTACATTTCTGGGCTTTAATGTACCGATTTTCACTCAGCACCGTGGCCCTCCGGCTTAGGGTAGCCTGAGCCAATTGAGAAATGATTAAGAGCTTGGAATATTATGGCAGATCACATAGTCCGACCGGGAAAGGGTTCCTCTTCCCAACAGATCAGCGACGTATGGGGATTCAGTATGCACGTTTCTACCTAGTCTACTCCCAATAAAAGCCGCAAAACATGCCGAACTCGTCCGTGATAAGATACTAGACAGCTCTAGGAAATTTTTACCGAAACCTTGCTGGGGGAGTAGATATACAAACCCTATCATACATGGGTACTGTAAGGAATGGACTGCACACACAACGCCTAGAGATGGTATGGAGCTGCCTCGTCACCAACCAACTTCCCCACCTGGTCAACCAAACCTGCCAGGTGCTCATCCAACGGACCCGCCTCGACCGCGTCCAGATTAGCCTCCAACTGTGCGAGGCTCGATGCACCAATGATCACAGAATCTCCATACTGATGACCTAAGGCCGAATGATAGATCGTCCAGCGTAATGCCAGCGCGTGCCCACTAATCCCCGCCGCCTCTGCTGCCTTTGCTGTTTCGTCAACTGCGGCAAGGACCGCTGGTCGAAAGTACGTATTTTGATAATTTTTGCCCATGTCAGTCTGAAAGTGCGTTTAGTGTGACGGACTTGTCAGCACGGCGATGAATGACTTACATTTTTGTCCCAGCGTGAACCAGGCAGGGTGGATTCAGGCGAAACCCGACCAGTGAAGAGGCCTGCTGCTGCGGGACTAGCATGCAAGAAGAGTTGAAGTTACCACTATCACACAGCTGCATTGTTGATCGAGTTGTGGTCTTACCTGTACGCGTAAAACGCTATCCCGTGCCGTCTAAGAAGAGGGAAGAGCCGTGTTTCTGCGGAGCGGATGATTGCATTGTACCGGCCCTGGTACACACTAGGTTTCACCAGACCATGTTTCTCGCAGATTGTCAGGATCTCCTCGACCTCCTCCGCGGTATAGTTGCTTAAACCAAACCGAGCGAATTTGCCGGCCCGGTACTCAGCATCTATCGCCCGGCACGTTTCCTCAAATGGGGTCGCCCGGTCTGGTGCGTGTAGATATAAAATATCCACCTTATCCGTCTGTAGCGCTTCGAGAGACGCTGTGATACTTTCTTTAACTCTATCCGCCCGGTGGGATCCAGGCTTCCAGGACAGGACTTTGGTGGAGACTGTGGCCCAAGAAGGAACTCGCAGCTCCCCTAGGATCTTCTCAGAGGTACCCGGGGAACCCACGGGGTACGCCCGAGCCGTATCCAGGACGGTAATATTTCTCGCCTGCAGGGTGGTCAGGACGGGGGATGCGGTTGCCCTATCGTAGAATTTGGCCTGAGGGGATCCTGTGCCGAAAGCAGCGGTGCCAAAAACAACCTGTGGGTGTTTTGGTGGTGCCATGGTCAATTGTCGATAACGACGTAGCAGAACTCTGTATTGGGGAAGCATAAATAAGTGGGTGTGAACTCGCCCTACTTTTACATTTAGGAGACGGCGCCGGTTTTCGGCGTTCTCGGAGTCCCGCATTCGCTCTCTCGCCGGTCGGTTTTAACCTCCAAGTGCCTTCACCGATGGATAAGGCATAGCCGGCCAAGTGAGAGGTTAGAGAAGCGTCTAACATATCCATTCTCACAGCCTCTCTCGTGGAACGAGAATCCAGGGCTTGGGGGCGGCAACTGCAGTCTGTAGCCTTACTGGCGGTCCACCGACAGCCCCGTCCCATCCCGTCCCCAAAAGTCCGCCGGTGGGGTCTCAAATATTCGTATCCCCAAGCAGACGAAAATGGCAGTAGCCATAATTATTATATCCGCGAATACCAGATGCCTGAGATGCTATCTCTATCTGATTATCTGTATCCAAATCAGCGCGGATACGACGCGGATATCACGTTACTCAACTCATTCGCATAACTTTCGCTGAATTCACCCAGATTTGATCATGTTTGTATTATTTGTCTATCCGCGACACTTTTGAAATCCGCGGAGTTGGATATGTTGCCGCAGCCTAGGTACATCTTCATGCATAGTCTTGAATACCATGGACATTCCCCAACCAAATAAAGCAAAGAACAGCCCGTGAAATAACCGAGATACCATTGCCCCACTCCGCGAAGTAAAAAAAAAAAAAAAAAAAAGGAAACACGAGAATAAAGAGAACAAGGAAGGCTGGGGCTCAACGCCAGCTGAAAATTAACTAAGTTAAATAGCCAGATCGGAAATGACATTAAATTGTACATCCACTTCGTAAAATCATTAGTGTATTCAGAGACACGGTTCCCAACCCCGAATTCGATCGAACTTGGCACGAGCTTGCTTCTTCAGATCCGCGAGTAAAGGAGATATTAGGGATATATCCCCGGTCCGAGTGCCATTGATCGCGGGACTGTGTTGTTGAGTGAGGCTCTGTATTAACATTCCGACCTTGGAGAGCTCAATTCGAAGGAGATTGGCCTGTAAAACCCGCTCTTCACCTTGGTCAAGTTGATAGGACCCGAGAGAAAGTCGCACCGACGTGGGAGACTGTCTTCCTTGGCTATCTAGCCCACATATTACCTGATCAAACCCTTCAAGGATATGGATTAACAGGGCGACTAGTTCCACCAGTACAAGGATTCCCTGTCGATGATGGGGACTAGTACACTCCAGTACCGAGATACAGACAGCCATGGTAGCCTTGTGCTTGATCAGGAACTCGTCAAAGGCGACCGTATCCGATTGTGGCCGAACACCAAGATTCGCTAGTTCTTGAGCTAAGATACTCTGACAGCAACAAGTGGTGCCAAATAATGAGGCGTGTGATATGGAGGTCGATGAATTAGGATGGGTAGGTAAATTAGTAGCGCTGGCAGCAACGCCGGTCAGGTTGTATGTGTCGGCCAGCGGAGGACTGAGAAGGTTAAATCGATTATCCAGGTCGATGTCCTTGCCAGGGAAGGAATCAGTGGGAAACGTATATTCCCAATCTTGGAGTAATTCCTCAGGAAAGCTGGGAGTCGTCGAGGGGGAAAACGGCTCCTGTAGAGAAGGGGTGCGTCGAAAGTTGTGCCCGGTGCGTTTATATGTCGCGCGTTTGACCCCTCGTAGGGACACCCTATATACACAGGAAATGTTGCGGCTCTGACAGCGCCGGCATGATGGCCTATCCCTGGAGCACTTCACTTTCGCGGCGTTGCAACCGTCACACGCATTTCGAAGGGGAAGTTCGTCGGTGCCCACGGTGGCAGCCGAGGTTGTCGCGGATTCCGTCGTCACTGGGAGGGATGCCAATGGATTACCCGAGATAGGCATTGTGATTGCAGGAGAAGGACATCCGTCGGCGAGAGCTTTGATCCAGGTTCGTGAGGTCATCCTTCAATTCAATACATCATTCTGCCTTATGAAAGCAAATGTAAGACTAGATGGAAAATACTGCGGCGAAACTTTCACTCTGCCCTTTAAATTCCCTTTGAGGTCCTTCTTCTTTCCTCTTTCTATCGGAACTAAGTTCAAGCCTGATGCATTAACTTTGATATCAGATCATCGTCACGGTTTTTCAGCTGTATGGGGCGATTATGTACTTTGTCTGCCGATCAACTACTTATGGAACTTATGGAAGACGTGGCACTTTCTTCCCCTAATCTTCCCGCTGATATGTCATATGCAATTCTCTCCTCGGTCTTTTTTTTTTCTTTTCTTCTTTTTCTTTTCTTTTGTTT